ACAGACAGACAGACAGACAGACAGACAGACAGACAGACAGACAGACAGACAGACACGCTGACACACACACACACATACACACACACAAACATAACTATATGTATACATCTCATCTAGGTTGTGCGAAACCTTCCTTTCCCCCACCCCTCCTCCGCGCTCTCCACACCCACCTTCCTTCTCGACTCAGTAAAAAATTTTTTCGAAAGTGGGACATGGTGTTTAACATGAAGACTGATATTGACGAGAGTTCAGATCACGCCCAGATACAAACTCCTGTTTCTCGCGTGTTTAGCCAAATTCCACACATATGGAGCAACAGCAGAAGGCTGTGTCTGGTGGTGGGAACGAAGAAAAAATAAAACTTAAAAAACAAAACAAAACAACAAAAAACCCCACAAAAACCTCAAGCAATTTATATAACTTCTTCAGGCCGTTTTGAAGAGACACGCGGGTCCTTAATAAGCCACCAGCCATCAGCTATCTGGTTTGCGACTGGTGGATACCTTTGTGCTCTATCTCTCTTGCTGCTCGACGCTCGAAATGATAAAGTCCTTCTTGTCATTCTAGGGCCGATGGTGAGTGCGCAGATGCCTGGACAGGCCGATCTGCGCTCGAAAAGTCGTACTGTCACAATGCAAACAGGGATTGTTGACAGATAGTTGCAGATCTGCTCTTCCTGGCCAACCTGCGCTGCTCATCTGCAGCAATTCGATTGATTTCACAATTACCTTTCTTGGGTAGGAAGATAATGATCGCCACTTGACTCTCACCTTGGCAGTCTGCTTCCATGGTTAGTGGTCGATGCTGAAGGTCATCAGGGAAGCTTTGAGGCTGTCGTTCGGACGCTTCATCTTCTTCTTTGGCAAGCGATGGTTTAGCATGCGATCTACGTGACCTGCCCAGCAAAGTTGTAATTTAATTAAGATAGTGAAGATTCTAGGCGGGCCGCCAGCATGAGTGAGCACTTCAGTGTTCAAAACCTTGCCTTGCCACTCAATGTCTGTATAAGTCTTCTGAGACAGTGGCGTGAAAAATGGTCTACTTTCCTGGCACGACACTGGTAAACTGCTCATGTTTCGCAACCATAGAGCAGTACGCTTGGAAACTCTGACCTTGGCTCCTGAGGTGATGCTTCTCCTATTCCGATCGTTCTGCGTAAGGCGGCAATAGCTTATGCCAGTCGAGTAATCACCTCGTCGTCGATGACAACATTTCTGGACAGGGCATTCCCTAGTTCAGTTAATTTTTCCTCCGCTTTCAGTTGCTGTCCACTAATAGTAAGAGCTGGCTCATTATGACTTTCCTGGAGCTGACTGGCGCAAAACTTCAGTCTTTTTTTGCGTCGATTGTTAGACAAAATTTTTGCAGGAAGCAGTGATCTTGCCAACGATGTATTTCATTCGGACTTGTGAGGCACCACATAGGTCATAGTTGTCTGCGAAGAGAAAATCATGGACTTTGTTGGGTCTTGATTTTGGTTTGAAGTCTTCTGGGAGAAAATCGATGTATACAACAATTCAACAAACAGCCTCACTGACCTTATCTCTAGGAATCTCGTGACCGGCTCCGATCTCCAGAGCAAAGTTGTGGAACTCCTCCTTGACTCGACCTGCGTGCACACCTTCAGCAGCCGTACCCTGGTGGATGATTGATTGTTTTG